TAATCCCTGTGGGATTTAGACTACCGGTTTGAAAGATGAGCTTTTGTTCAAGAGTTTTACGGTTTTCCGTGCTACCTAAGTGTAAGGAAGGACCGCAGATTGCCATATGTTGCTTAGAATGATTAGGTAAATTGAAATGTCTAGCGACTGGTTTCGATGTGTCCTTGTCATTCCTTTCCTTTGGAATAAATGTTAACTTAGATTTATTAGAAAAATGGTACTCTTGTGGCCTACTGAAAAATGGGATGAAAATGCAAAAATAAAAATCTTCAAAACTTCCCGGCCAACTTTTAATTTTCTGCAAAATATTTCAGCCTCGAGATTTATGCTATAAGGAAGTGGCTTATTTCTAAAACACCTGGGTTAGCCAAAACATAATTATGTGCACAATTCTGTTTACAGCCCCCCGTGGATGCCAGCGGAGTGACCAGCAATGTAGTCACCTTTGCCTCAATACTCCTTCCGGACCACATTGTGTGTGCCCCAACGACATGGAGCTGGTAAACTCCACCACATGTAAGATTACCGAGTGCCCTATAAGTACTTACTGCCCTACGGCGCGTTCATTAACTTTCAGCTTACCACACAAAGTTGATATCTTACTGCCTAGTCCTGCTTTGTACATTTATTCAACGCCCTAGTCTTTTATCATAGAGCTCTTTCGTTCTTATTCAATATTGTGGCAATATTTATTCTTATAGCCTGAATAACGCACAATGCCATTTTTGCGGGGTATTCCTTGTGTTGTGTGGAACTTAGTGATGGCACTTACCAGCACAAAAATTCTCAGCGAGGAAATAATTATTCTCCTTTGATTCGAATTAGCGTATACTAAATTTCTTTCCTTTCATTTTGTTTTCCGATATTTGAGTACATTACTCATTTTTTGTTTGGATTTCTTTTTTCTGCAGGTAGGTATCACCGGTTAATTCTGCATACCGAGTGTTACTTCAGCGAGATCTACAAGTCTCCATTGGGTGCAGATGACCTGTTTTCAGTGGCAAATACTCTGCCTCTTGAGAACGTGGCCTGCCCATCTGCTATCGCATCTCACTCTGCAATGGAGAAGATTTACTGGACGGACTTGACAATGAAACATATTGCGCGATCCAACCTGGATGGTACAGATGAGGAAGTAATTGTACAAAATGTGAGCTACTCTGTGGCAATTGCTGTGGACAGCTATGCAGGAAATATATATTTCACTGACAGAGATAAGAAAACAGTTGAAGTCGCCAAACTCGATGGAAAGTTCAGGACAGTTCTTATTCAGAGCCAAACGCATGATCTGGTTGGCCTGGCGATTGATACCCAACGAGGGTGAGTCCGTTTATAATTGTATTTGAAATTGTAATGTAAACAAGTTCTACATGTGCACTCAACGAACAAAATGAAAAGATCCGAGCATTGACACCTCTTTTGTGGCTGTTGCGGGTACTCTTTGGTCCCTCTTTTCTTGCATAGAAATCGAGAGGTCTATTTATTTCATTTCTCGACTTTCCTGATGGGAAATACAAACATCGTGAATTATCTTGAGGTTATCTTCATTAGATTCATTAGAGCGTCAGCACACAGCTGAGTTTTCATAGCCAGGTGGTCCCACCAATCGTTCTTTATCCTTCTGAGTCTGCGCTGTAGAGCACTAGCCCTCTTCACAGGACAGGTCAGTTGTGCTAGGTGGGCTTGATGAGCCGCCCTCTTCTTTGCTAGTAAGTCCTGGATCTCCGTTTCCATCAGATTGATGAGGAGGCGAGCTTTCTCTAGGCGAACCTTTTCTATCGCCCCTCTCCATGTGGAGCAGGCAGTGCTCTCCCTAAATAGGGCTGCCTAGTCGCTCAAAATGTTGCCGATTGGTGTCGTCGCCTCCAGGTCGACAACCAGGTGACCATCTGTCCTGAGCCGCTTGCATGCAGGATCGTGACTATGGCTTCCAGTGATATCTTCTACCTGCCAATTTCGCCCCTTTCCCATCGCTGTAAGGCTTTGAATGCTTGGACGCAGAACGTGGACGTGTCCTTCGGCCTGTACTAAGGATTTTTCGGTGAAGTACAGTGTGCGCAGACTGGCTCCACCCTTTGAGCACGAGGTTCATCTGCCATGGCCCAGCAAGCTGGGATGATGACAGCGAGGTCCTCGGACCGTAGGTTTTACTTGGAGTTTCTGTCTCCTAGGTGGGTTGCCGGACAAGGCTATTGAACCCCATCCGTCCGTGTGTTTATTATCGGAGTTCCCATCTCTTAGGTGAGCAGCCTTCCATGGCTGACGAGCCCCACCTGCCCGGAGCAAGCATAGTTATACTGCGCCAGGCAGTATAACCATTAGATTAGCATCCTAACCAAGGGGTAAGCCTCGACACTTCTGATCTCTCTATCATGAAATGACCATGATAAGCTCCAATAAAGACTGGTTGGCCACTCCTAATGAGACTTTCTTCTCCGAAAAAACCAAAAAAAAAAAAATTAAAAACCTCTTCCAGACAGGATATTATAAGCTTGTAATCTCTCGCTCCCAGATTATGTTATTATCATTATTATTACTATTAATATTACTATTATCATATTTTTTTAAGAATTTTTTCAATGCTTTCAAATGTTTGTAAACTGTAAAGACATACTTGTTTTGACTAAAAGTCAATAACACTGGTGATAAGAAACTCTTTAAACACAAATGCTTCTGTGAACTTAGATATATGTACTACTCTGCCTGGGGAAACCCACCGATGATCAACAGAGCTCAACTGGACGGAAGCGATATAACCCCAATAGTGGAGTTCAATGAATTTCCCTATCAGCGACCCACCGCACTAGCTATAGATGTGGACGAAAACGTTTTATATTGGGTAGGAGATCAGGATCCTAGCTTGCAGTACATCGACCTTCGATATCCAAAAAGTGAAATTGTGTATCATATCAACTATAGCAATTACTTACATTACCCCCTGGGGCTTGCTCTTGATGCTCACTATTTTTACTGGACGGACTGGTTGCTAGGAAACGTCATAAGAGCCAGCAGAGGTCCGAAATCGGTCGTTGTCCAGCTGATTCCTTACCAGTACACACCAAGAGGCGTCAACATATTTAACCCTGATGATGTACAAGGTAATTTGAATGGTTAGATATAGGCTTTAAAGGCATTGAAGTTAGGCTACCATTATGTAAAACTATCCTGCTATGGGTCGAAATTTTGAATATTTGTATCAATGTTTTTCTCTCAACTCGAAATTCTTTGCAGAGAGACAAACACATGCTCTACATATACCTCCTTTTCTGTCAGAGAATCTGCGTTACTTTTCTGGCACAACCAATTTTCCTGATTAATCTCCCACAGAAATAGTAGGATTACCGGCTGACTTGGTCTTATCAATGACCTTCTCAAGCTGAAGAAATAATTCTTATTGAAAAAAGAGAACGGTACTGACTGCCAAACATATTTCTCGCTCTGTATAGTTGACGTCTCCAAATTCGAAATGCTACATAGAGTTTTGAATATTGATTCCAGAGAGGGTCCCTTTCCGACTTCGTTTGCTAAAATTATTCAAACATTTCAAAGTTCATCACGCTATGCTTAATGAAGAGAAGGTATTTTTCATTCTTCATTTCAAGACACTGATGGTTAGTAATCAAATTTTGTCTAGATTATCATCCATGTGTTGAAGAATGCGGTCATCTTTGCCTTTTGAAACCTGGTGGCTATAAATGTGCATGTACCGCCGAAACCGTTACTCCCTGTGTTGAGAGCATTAACATTACGAGTAAGTTGTAAACAGCACTTGAAATTTAATAACTTCGGTTAAATTAAGCAAGTCTGAGAGAAATGGAAAAGAGCATCATTGGAACAGCATACTATGACAATGGTGGCTGTGCCTCTTTAAGAAGTTTCTGTTTCAGCAATAGATAACAGATGACGTCACAATGTGGTCGGAAGGAAAAAAAAGAAAACTTTTGTCGGTGTTTACGTCATCTATTAGTCTGTACTCCGAAAGATCTTTTAAGTTCTATTGTGTGTATAATTTAGCGTATCATGTAACTCTCAAGGGATGAAAGTTTGATCTTAATGGTCTTTAAGCCATTCCCGAAAGGTCTAGGCCGAAAGGGTGTTCATCATAGTTTTCATAGGATATAATTCCAAGTATATTGTATATTTAAAATAACACTCTTTTTTAATCTTTTAAGATGTTTTTGGCTGCACCGATGACCCAAGTATCTATTTCATTGACGACCATCACATCAAATGTTTTCATTTGGATTCCACTAACAAGACTTACGTCAACCCTAAGACAGTGAAGGATGATGTCATTAAGGGAGGTGCAATTGATATAGACCATCGGGAGAGAATGGTATTTTGGAGCGATAACGCCCTCTGGACTTTAAATCGAATGAACCTCGTCACTGGCGAAAGTGAGGTAATAGATTTTCTTGTTTGCTTTTTTTCAATTACTAAGCCAGCACTATAGCTAGGACTGTAAGCCAGATTGAGACCTTGAGAAATAACAAATGGTAAACACCACAGCGTAGACTATAGAGTTATGGATGCACGCGGGAGGTTGCTAAGCACGAAAGAAACGTAAGAGTCGCGCGAGGCGATAGCCGAGAGCGACTCTAGCTTCTTGTGTGCTTAGCAAACCTCCCAAGTGCATCCATTTAACAAATGGTAAACACCACAGCGTACACTATTGAGTTATGGATGCACGCGGGAGGTTGCTAAGCACGAAAGAAGCGTAAGAGTCGC